CCTATGACTCGACGAAAACCGCTGGTCATGAGTCTGCTGCTTCATATACTGGGCTACCGTGGCCGAAACGTATTCTTCATTTTACTCATAATATTATGATTTGCATATCTCGTTGGGCATGGTTCTTTTTTGACAGATTGATTGGTTTTATTAACGTCGCACTCGAGGCAACAAGAGGGAGATTGGCGACAACAAAAATTTGTCTAAGCAATATATAAAACGACGAACTGTATTTGTTGTACTCGTAAGCAAAGCTAGACTAACCGGCGAAAAATAAAACATGGATTACAAATGCCATCTGTGGCTGCGGTAGCTTAATGGTCATGATTTCGGATTCGTGGCCAGCGGTTTTCGTTCAGTCATGGTTCGATCCTTGGCTGCCAAAGACCGGGCTGATGCACGTTAAATCTGTCGGGGCCTTAAGTCCTCCCGTGGTGTGGAAGTTAGGAGAGGGGGTGCCAGCTCAGGTGTCGTCCTCGTCACTTGACCGTGGTTATTACGAGTTCCGTGGCCAATAGCCATCATGTTGCTTCTAGTGCGACGTTAATAAAAAAAAAACTAAACTAAACTACAAGCGCCATCTATTGATAAAAAATTGATACCATAAACTTTCTGCTAACCAGTACAATCGTTTGATTATAGTTTTTCTTATATACAGCTATTCCAGAAGCAAAAACGTGAATGAATCTCTGACCCGCAGGATCTTGTGGGTTGGGTTATACGGGGATATGGGAGGCCTTTGTGACATCAGGGCTCGAACCCACCACTAAATGGAAACAACGCCGTCCACAAGTTCGCAACCATGACCTGTGTGTTACAAAGGCCGCAAACATTTTATATATGATGGAAATAACACCAAAATATTTAACATCTCAAAATCATTAAGAAGAAATTACATTATCGAAAAAATGCTACCCCCCATAGATATAAAATAAAAAATATCAATGACAAATTAGCTTATTTAATTTTCTTTTTTTTAACCTTTCAACAGAATACCCATTTCTCTCTCTTATCCTTTCCTAGAAATCTTAATTTACTTTAGTTAACTGTCCAAGAAACTCGTGCCACGATAGCCTAGTGGTTATGGTCGCGACCTTCCAAAGTCCTCCCGTGGCGTGGAGTGGAAGTTAGGAGAGAGGGTGCCCGCGCAGGTCTCGTTTTCCACTTGACCGAGGTTCAAAATCGCGAGCTCCGTCGCCAATAGCCTTGTGTTGTATATAGTGCGACGTTAATAAAACCAATCCAACAAAATCTTATATTCACTCATTGGTTTATTAATATCTTTCTTCATATTGAACCCTATGTTTACTATTTAAATTTAAGAGAATAAATTTTAAGAAAATTAGAATAAGATGAATTAGGGAAAAAATGTATACGTGGTTTTGTTCTTAAATAATGAAAGTAATGCTGCTACAGAAGTAGTACGTATGCGCCAAACGCCAGGTTCCGACAACTGTTCAGGTTGAAGCCTTCACTTTCGAATGCAATACTTCTCGCTTCTGTATATAAATCCGTATAGTCATAGCCTTCGTTCTAATTATGTTTTGTTTTTCCAGAAAAATAAGTGAGCAACGAATTGTCGTGAAATTTCCCATGAAACTTAGGAAAACCGCTACTGATAATTTATCGAAAGAAGTGTACGGCAATGAATGTTTATCACGTGCACGTGCTTTTGAGTGGTTTAAGCATTTTCGAGATGACCGACCGAATCTGGTTCGATCTGACAGTCGGTTAAGTATTCATGCGATTGCTGAGATTGTAAGAAATGGCAAAGAATCCGTACGGCGAATTTTTCCACCAAGACAATGCCCCGGCTCTTTCCACATTGTATAGCCAAATGTAACGTCCAAATGTATGACTATTCGCCTTATTCGCTGGTTCTTGCGCCATGCGACTTTTATCTGTTTCGTACTGTGAAATCTGTATTTAAAGGAAATCGATTGAGTCCGGTGAAGCTGTGAAAGAGAAAGCGGTGCGCGACCTGATGGAGCTGACAGAAAACATCCTAGACTGTTTCGAACAATGGAAGAATCGCATGGAGCGTTGTAGGGATAGAGGAAGGTTGTATTTTGAGGGTGATAATAAATAAATATGTAAGAAATGAAAATAAAATATTTTACAGCGTCAGTATCGTTATTTAGTAGCCACGTCTTGTATTTCTCAGTTTTCCAGGGGCCTAAAATACGTCGCCATCTGTTGACGGAAAGAAGAAAACATTAATCGAGACGCATTATGTCACATATTAGTCTCCGTTCTTTGGATCAGGTAAAGAATCATCCACTTATTTGGCAAGTTATTTCACTGTTTTCAAGGTATAAAGTAAAGTTGGCGCCATCCTTTTAAAATTGAAATATTGGGCAGAATGCATTTTGAAAGGTAGTATTTAATGCTTTCCTAATTTGCACAATATTTTAATAGGTAACGTTAATCGCGATAAAATTGTAAAAATTAGTTTGGTTGAACGTTAATCAGATCTGCTAAAAACATTTCTTGAATATTTTCCAGTTAAAAATAAATCTTGGATTCAAAATCCTTCTCGAGACTGTGACGCTTCCGAACTCCCAATGAAAGAAAGAGAACGACAAATTGATACGCCAACCAACACTCAATTGAAACTAAATTTTAGTCAAGTGGACGTCATGCCTCTTTGGATTAACATTAGAAAAGAATATCCTGAAATTGCCAAAAGAGCTACGAAACATCTAATCTCATATGTTTCAACCTATGTATGAAAAATCTTTATCTTTATGCTCAGCGGCAAAAATAAAACACAGAAACGAATTGGATGCTGAAGATGAATGAGGTTGCAGATAACAATAATTATTCCAGATGTAAAAATATTTCACAATAAAAGACAATCACAATCAAGCCATTAAAATTTTGCTTTTATTAATTTTTTGATATAAAATATTTTTGCTTTAGTTTATTATTTATAGAATATATGTTAGACCCCCCCCCCCCCTCCAAAAAAAAAACCATTAGTTACCTTACCATTCATTGTCTTATTAAAACGTTTCTGTTGTGATGAAATGGAGATGCAATAATAATTTTGTAAATTTGAGTAAGATAAAGCTTTCGTATCCTATTTTTCTTCCCTTTAATCAAGAGGTTCCTCCAGGGAAACGGTAAGATCAAAGGGCTCCCCAAATTTTATAACTTTGAATATCCCTGCTTTACTGTGTTAATGCCTCACTTTTAATCGTATTTTGAAAATATTATTTAACATACGAGGGTGGTTCAAAAAGTACTTGTATTTGAAGACAGATGTGATCATTAAGATGAATTGTTGTTAGTATTGGGTGCTGCCATCTGTTAAACGGTGTCGAAACGTACTTGACATTGATTCATCAGTTAGTTTTGATTTTGTTGTCCTTAGCTGCCAAATCAAAGTTTGATTGCTGTCCCATCAAGTTGTCACCGCCAATGAGACCCGGATTCATCATTACGTGACACTTCCGGTGAATCTGTTCCAAAGAAGCCGAGGAGGATCTCATCAGCCGGAAAAATTATGACGAAAAATTTCTGAGGAGTTAAAGGCGTCAGGATCCTAAATACGAGTAACTCAGATTTAGATTTCTTTCTAGTGAGTCATGATGCTTGCTGAAAACAAAAAAAAAATTGATTTTTCGAACAAAAATTCGAGCACCACTTCTTGGAATTTCTAAGGATTTAATGAACGACATTCGTTTTCATGTTAAGCATGTCTATAAAGAAATAAAATATACCGATTATTTAAATACTCAAAATAAACAATAGAACGACATTTAATCATTTCAAGCTCAGTATCACTTTTTTTACAACGTTTTTATGTATTCCACTTGGTGTGTGTCATCAAATTTTCAATCGTTAATTTAAAAAACTTCCCATCAAGCTAGAGCTCTGAAACTTTGGGAATTGTTCTTACTCTCCAAACAATGCAATATTTAGACATTTGCAGCAAGTTTTAACTAATATGTCAATAATGTTTTCTTAATAAACTTTGCCACCATATAAAAACGTTGGTTTTTATCTCGAATTATTTTCACCTGTATTCTTTTATATAGCAAAAATTTTTAAAACTGAAATATATATATTTTTCCTAACCAAAGTTATTTGACATGAAATTATTTTGACGAGAGTTAAACTTTTAATATATTTCGAGGACTCATCTAAAGATTATAATAAAATGCATTTAATGACTTATTTGTTAATTTAAATGAATTGTCTGATTTAATAAAATGTAACAATGAAGGAGGTGGGTGGAAAAGAGTGCGAAAGAAAATTAACATTTATTACATTAATCAATCGTTAGATCAGTCTTTAAGATAAAAATGTTTTTCACATTTACACTTCTAATCTTTTAATTCGTAATTAATATGTCTGAATGAATGTTTATATGCCGTAGAGGTCTTATTGCAAGAATGAAAGGCATATAATCACTAGAAAGATTTGCATACTTTATTTTTAAAAAAAAGTTAGGCAAAAAATAATTTGTGAATTTACATTAATAAAAAAAATAATAATGTTGATATAACTTTCAGCGTCAATATCTGTTGCTTAATTGAGATTAATTTTTAATGTACCTTGCTTGTGACTCCATGATAATTATTTCTGCTTCCTTCGAATAACATTTAAATTATTCTAAAGTTAATCACTCATAATATTATTTCAAAAATTAAAATTTTAAGTCATTTGTAAAAGTTGTTAAAAGTTGTAAAAGAAATTAATTGTAATATGCCATAGTTTTTTTTTTTATATACACATTTAAATTCTTCCTATAGAGTCATCTTCTTTGCATCCGTAATCGCAATTAAAGAATTAAGAATGTTAATCACAAATATAGTCCCAAATTTGTCTTTACAACTTTAAAAAAAGTAATTTTCATACATTTAAATTCTTCTAAATATTCATAACATAAAAAAAAAACAGAACTTTCAATGGCTGCGAAAACCTTTGTTTACATTCAGAATTCCGGGAAAGGAAAAATAATAATTGAAAGTGGAGCAAGAGGAAAAAATTCTGGCAGTCGGTGGGATTCGAACCCACGTATCACATATAGGTGCGTCACGCTTTTTTTATCAGATGCGTTCGCCTAACCGCTCAGCCACGACTGCTTGTGGACAATGGTCAAATAGCCAGTTTTAGGGGTGTACAGAGGCTTCCGCGGAACCTCAGGATTCTCTGGAATTTTAATAGGGGTTCCACTAGGGATCACTATTTATTTTATCACAGCTCTAAAATTTTAACTTTTGTGAAAGATCGATTTCTTAAAGGCAGTTTACTTGTAAAAACAAATATAAATAAATATTTTATGGATAAATTATAATCTTACATATCGTAAAAGTCAAGTGCTTCAAAAACTCTTCAGTTAGCAACGTAATAGTAGATTTGCGGCCGGCCTACCCGTCTGCTATATAAGCCAATGGATTAAAAGAAATCCTCATGACAAATTTCTCATTTGAAAACTGCTTCGATGTTTTTTTAATTGAAATAGAGAAGCAAATACACTAGCTAAATTATATATGGACTAAGTGAATGTCGTTATTTCGTTTTATTTCATTTTTCACATATTTAAGAATTGAATTCATATTAATTTAACATTTGAGTGAGTTTTTCATTTAGAACAGAGCTCAGCAAACTATAGCCCACAGGTTAAAATTATTTTTTATATTGTCACGAAAATGCAAAGGACTACAATTAAATTTATTATTAGAACAATTAGAGTAACAACACAGAACTGAAAACTTGCACACAACTGACAGATCTCAGCCTTTATCCACGCACAGAATATTGGAGATAACATCCCATTTGAATGTTAGACCAGGGTTCTTCAATCGGGGTTCCCTGGAACTCTGACAGGGTTTCCGCAAGTGATCACTGTTTTCTTAATCAGAGTCAAAATTTTAATTTCTATAAAATATCGAATTCTTAAAGGCAGTTTGCCATTAAAAATAAATATAAATAAATATTTTATTGATAAAGTAAAAGCTGAAATTTCGTAAAAGTCAAGTTCTTCACATCAATTGAGACTCATTAGGTCACATATTAGTCTCGGTTCTTTGGCTCAGTCTATATATCTTAATTGATATATCAACCGACATTCAGTTGAAACTAAAATTTAGTCAATTTGATTTTATACATTTTTTTTGAATTGGTATTAGAAAATAATATCCTGAAATTGCCAAAAGAGCTATGAAACCGCTAATTTTACAAATTCTATGTTTTATTCGATAAATCTGATGTATAAGACAGTTTCTTTATGCCCAATTCACTTATTAAGCTAAGCACTGTTGTAAATTAATTCAATGCTTTTAAATTTGTGAAACCTTTTTTAGAATTAACTGTACTTTGAAAATTTCATTATGTTGATTTTTTTCATATTCTTAATGTTTAAATGTTAGTTTGTGTTTTTCTATTTCTATAACGTACTCTAGCTGTATTTAACCAACAAATGCTTCATTATTTCTCAGGACGAATCCCTACTCAAATCTTCAGCTTTTTTTCAGTTCTTATTAAATAAAAATACTTCTTAAAATACTACTTTTTAACTTATATTTTAAACTGGGGTTAAAAGGTATGGCACATTGAAGAGTAAATAAAATATCCAAATAATTGAAAAATGTTACTGTGTAAATTTTTCGCTAAGTATGCACATTAAAATGTTTTTAATAGCAGAATAATAGTGACATAAAGAACATTAATCTTTCAATGTACTTTTAATTCTAAATATTACAATTCTGCACATGCTTCTTTAGATCAAAAGAACTTAATTTTGTTTACCTTAGAGCCAAATATAAAGTTATTGAGAAGAAAATATGTATATAAGAGGTATTAAAGGTAAACTGATGTAACACAAATTTTTTAACTATTTCAACATAAAATCATTTTTTTTAAAAAAAAGATGCTTTTTAATGATCATGAATGATGAAATGTTTAACAATATTCTAACAAAAAAGCATATATATATATATAGCTTAATAAGCATAAAGAAACATCTGTTTTGTAAAAAAAAGTGATAATCTGGATTAACAATTTTGTTTAATCAAATTTAAAAAATGAAACAATCATGATTTTATTTTTCACTAAAAATACAGTGAGTGAGTGACTGTAGGGTTTAATGGCACAAGAGCCAAAGTAGGCTATGCTGCACCAAACACTTGTTAAAATGGATTAGAAAGAAATGGCCTTAAAAAAAAAGAGACAAACACAAAAAGACACACAAAAGATAAAAAGTTAAAATTCAAATATGGTGTAAAAGGCCAATATGTCGTAAAAAAGCAAATAAATTATGGCGGGGGGTTTCCCCCACCAAGTCAGATAGATTTAAAACTGATGAATGAAAAAAAATCCGACAATGATCAAACACCGGACAGTCAATTAAAATGTGATGAATAGAGTAAGGGGCATGGCAGGAAGGACACTCGGGAGCATCTTCTCCAAACAAAAGATGTATGTGAGTAAATCGAGTATGTCCAATGCGAAGGCGATTCAATCTGACATCAGCCCTTCGCGTTGGAAAAACAGGCCATTCTACAATGATCGGCTTCACCGAGTGTAATTTATTATTAGTCTGGAGACTCCAAAATTCTTGCCATATCTGATGAATAAGCATTAAAATGAGATATATGTCCTCAAATGGGAAAAATACAGAGAATATCATTATTAAAACTATAAATTATTTGAAAAATATCAGGAATTCTTCATAAAGTAATATAGGTGCTGTACATTAACGAACGACTATAAATTTATTATAAATTTATAGTCGTTCGTTAAATAATGTACAGCACCTATATTACTATTATTTTTTTTTTTCAACTGATTTATACTCACTAATATTGCAATAAAATTTAGCAGCGCTTTGCTCCTCAGATATTTTAATGTTATATTAAAACAATTACACATGATAACTTATTTTTTATACTTATTAATATATATTTATAAATGTCATGAAAATATAGGGCAATTAAAGCTTTAGAGTATTTTTATTAGTTTTTTAATACCAAGATTGTTTTCCAATATGGCCATAGGTTTTCAGTTTCGATTCAAGCATCGGATTTAATACTGGACTTTACCACACAATTCATTGACCACCTGACTTCTGCAACATAAAAATTAGCACTGTATCCAAGAACATCACAGCTCTCCTGCCACGTAAATCTCTCGAGAGGCTTAGATTCTCGGATATGTGTTCACCCTGATAACATGCATCTCGATGTCTCCCTTCCTAGCTATCATTTTCATCAATTAAGAATAAGTTTGAGTTTTAAAAGGATTGCTGTCACAACCATGTCTACAAAATAATTTAAATAGATTAGGATGTCTCTTGCAAAAAAAGAAAGCATGTATATATATATATATATATATTAAGATTGAAAAATCTTTCAAAATCCTTCAATCTTAACAATAAGGAAAATGTGTGAAATTAAGATTCATAAAATCTATCTTGGTAAAACTGCTTTTAAAAAACATTTCAGTTCTTTACAGCTACATGAAATAGTACTTTGAAGCATTATTTTAGTTCAAATGTTACACAATTTTAAAAGAATCACACACTTTAGTCAATAATTTTTATTTTACAACAAGTTTTTCCAGACTTGTTCAGAATACATAAAACATCTGTATTACAATATTTGAACTATGTACAAACTTTGAATAATTATTATATTCTGTTTCATTACAAAGTGCTTTACAAAGGATTCAGGAAAATAGTGCACATGTATATAAAAATATAAATCTCTTACTGTACAGTATATAACACATGCAATAAACAAAAAAAATTTAATATAAATGTTGACAATCCTTTCTTTTTTTTAATTTTTTTTCTTCATAAATTATATTTAACAGAAATGACTGTAATTTCAGACTCATTGGATGAGAAGTTAACATATAAAAAATTACAATCAGATCTGAAGGATTTACGACAAAAATGAAGCATTAATCCTAATAATTTTTTTATAATTAAAAGCTCAGAAAACTAGTACAAGTCTTAGATCATGCTAAATAAGACTCAATACAATTTTATTCAAAAATTAAATTATAACATAAGAAATGCTTTTTTTTTGCAATAAATCCTTCAGCATTTTAATCGAAGAGAGAGAAAAAAAATTCCTCCTTTTACTTATTCCCAAACATGTAAGTATGTTAGTGAAAATATTATTTGTTTTATTACTTACACAAAATCTACTCAGTTTTATGAATGCATGACACATCCCTAACAAATAACTAAAACTTCAAACAATTATACAACACAAAAATTAAATAAACATTTCATCACCACATACTTAACAAATTTATAATTTGTCTATGTAAAATAGTTTTTTACAATATTTTCTTATAAAAAAATTTTTTGAGCAAAATATCACAAAATATTTTTCCCTTTCTTCTACACACAGAAGAGAAGGACACACTTCTTCAAGAGTTATTTTAAATATTTGTTTATACACATTAAAATATCATACAACTTTCACAAATTTAAATACAGTCACTAAAAATAATTAAAGATTGTATCAATTAATGTAAACTAATTAAAAAATTCAATTTTATATTGTTTTAAAATCACAGTAACACAAATTATTTTAATACTTTTTTTAGTTATTCAATTGATAAAAATGATTTTAGGATGATTAACATAAACACAATTGAGTTCGATTGAATTCAAACAAATCTATAAACATTTTTTTTTAAAAAAAAAAACTGTCTTGATAAAATATTTAAAAACTGACTACAACACAGTTTATGTAAATTTCACTCCTCGGGAATATTATTACAATGACTCAATTCTTATTTCCATAAAATGGCAGTAAATATATTGACTACCCAGCCATTCAAATTGCAACAGTTTGCACTAGGCAACCTCCTTCCTAGAGACCAACAGGCCATGCCACACTCAGGAGTCAAATGCTTAGTGATTAAAAAAGTTCTAATGTCGAGCCATTGGCTACGCTTGAGTTGTTTGAATTGTCTGTCCATTTGTTTTGTCTTCTGGCCTTTCTCCATCATAAGTCTGAAACATATTAATAAACTACAATATATCATTATAACAAATCAAATATATATTTAATAGCATAAAATGAAGTAAAATTGCTTTGCCGTAAAATACAGAGGAAGTTGCTAG